CTTCCAGCTTCCTTTAAAGCCGACTCTGGCGGCAGTGGTGATGGCTCAAGAGCTCAGCGGTTCCGTGTGACCCCTCACCTGCCACACTGCTGGCCTGGTTCCGATCATTCCAGTGCACCTGTCCTCATGATCGCAGTGCAGCCTTGTGGCCCATTCCCTCATCTCTTTCAGGTCTCTGTTCAGTCGTCACCTTGTCCTCAGCCCCCACTGCCTCCTGAACCGCTGTCTCCAGTCCTTACTCTCCCACCTCCTTGATGACCCTCTCTTCCAGACTGTAAACCTCACTGCATGGTTTTATCCATATTTGTTGCTCTTGTTCACTGCTGTTTGCCAAGACTTCAAACAGCATTGGGAGCATAACAGGTGTTCAATAAACCGGCGAGTGTCTGGGACTGCCTTGCCCCGAGGTAAGTGAAGAGGCTCTTTCTGCTAGAGTTCTAGGTTCTTAGAAACAAACACTTCTAAGGGCCGGCTGTGGCGTAGCAGGTAAAAGCCACCACCTGCAATGCCGGCATGCCACATGGGCACCGGTTCAAATCCTGGCTGTTCCACTTCTGATCCAGCTCCCTGCTAGTGCTCCTGGTAAAGCAGTGGAGGATGGCCCAGGTCCTTGGGGCCCTGCATCCATGTGGGAGACCCAGAAGAATCTCTGGGCTTCAGATCAGCCCAGCTCAGGCCGTTGTGGCCATTTGGGGACATACATTAGCAGGGAGCTGGATTGGAAGTGGAGCAGCCGGGACTTGAACTGGCATCCATATCAATGTTGGCACTGCAGGCAGCAGCTTTACCTGCTACGCCACAGCACCGGCCCCTTCCAGGAGCTCTTTCTAAAGGCAGATTTGTTGATGTGTTATTAACATACAAAAAAAATCACCCTCTCAATGAGTGTAGTTTAGGGTAGCCATTGAGGTGCACTGGGTTAAGCCGCCTCTTGGGATGCCACGTTCCATTTCGGAGTGCCTGGGATTGAGTTTCGCCTGTGTTTCTGATCCAGCTTCCTGCTAATGCAACTGGGGGGCAGTAGATGATGGCCCAAGGATTTGGGTTCTTGCCACCAACATGGGAGACCCAGGTGGACTTCCTGGCTCTTGGCTTTGGCCTGATCCAGGGCTAACTGTTGTAGCCATTTGGGGAGTGAACTAGCTGATGGAATCTCTCTCTCTCTCTCTCTCTCTCTCTCTCTCCTTCTCTCCCTCTCTCCCTCTCTCTCTCTCTCCCTCTCTCCCTCTCTCTCTCTCTCTCTCCTTCTTTCCCTCTCTCCCTCTCTCCCTGTCACTCTTTCAAATAAACAAAACAAATAAAAGCCTTAAATATCATATTCAAAAATAAAGGTAGTTGTGGAGCAACAGGTTAAGATGTTGCCTGGGGTGCCGGCATCCCTTATGAGCGAATATTCATGTCCTGGCTGCTCTGCTTCCAATCCAGCTCCCTGCTAATGCACCTGGGAAAGCACCAAAAATATGGCCGAAGTGCTTGGACCCCTGTACCCACGTGGGAGACCCGGATGGAGTTCCAGGGTCCTGGCTTCAGCCTGGCCCAGCCTTGGTCATTGCAGCTACTTAGGGTATGAACCAGCAGAGGAGAGATAGCTTTCTCTCTGTCTCTTTCTCTGTCACTCCTTCTCTCTGTAACTCTGCCTTTCAGATAAATAAAATTTATTTTCAAAAAAAATTTTAAAACGTAAAAGTGTTAACTCATGGGTTTTGATAAATGGATACAATTTATCAACCAATGGATTGATCAATACAGAGAATACGCCCACCACCCGGAAATGCTGCTTTTGCCACTTAATGATCATTTCCTCCCACCCACCCCAACTCCCTGGAGACTACTGATTTGTTTTATGTCCCTGCAGTTCTGTTTTTCCAGAATATTCTATAAGTAGAGCAAGATAGCACATCACATTTGTGCTTCACTTCATTGACTTAGTGTAAG